TGGTAGAGGCCTTTAGGGTACCTATGACAGGAGGCCAGGCTTGGAGGAAGGATAAGATGTGGGAGGCAGAATATGAGTGTGGAAGATGGGGAGGGAGCTAGAGACAAGCTGAGTTAGAAGGAAAATGAGCAGTGTATTTAACGTGCTGGTGAAAACTCTAGTACGTAGTCCAGTAACACAGGACACTCAGGTTTCACTTATGACTTGGGCCCCACCTACTTCTAAAAAAGATTTGAAACCACGGACACGTAGATACACATCGTAGAACCACTCATTCATCCTACAAACGTGTATTGATTGCCAGGAATGACCCCACAGAAAAGGCTGGGCTACCAGGATGGATGACCCATGACCTTCCCTCAGGGAAGACAGACGCAAAAACAGTTAACTGTAATACAATAACAGACAAGGGGAGAGAGGATTAATTCTGTCTGATTCGATTTCAACGAGGAGCTCCCAGAGGAGATGCTATTTGGCTGTAGAAGGATGAAAAGACGTCAATCAGGAAGAGAAGAGGAGCTAGCAGGGAAGCCAGTCCTGGGCAAAGGCCATGGCAGGAATAGCTCAGGAGCAATGTTGTGGTTATGAGGGAGTCATGGTTCCTGGGGAGCCCAGTGGTAGGCAGTGGAAGGCAAATTTCGGTGCTGAGGCTCAAGAGGGTGGCTGAGCCCAAGCTGAGCTTCATTTTTGCAGGCAGAGCAGTTCTGGGGTTTGGTTTCATTTCATTAAAGAATAAATTACCAGTCATCTGAAATGCCTTTTGGCTTAAAAATGCAAAGTTTTTAAATTTTTATTTTATTTTATGTAAAGTAATCTGTACAACCAACATGGGGCTCGAACTCCTGACCTCAAGATGAAGCAAGAGTTGAATGCTCCCCTGACTGAGCTGGCCAGGTGCCCCAAAATATAAAGTTGGTTTGGTTTTTTGTTTTTTTGTTTTTTTTTTTTTTTTAACTTTTTATTTTCGGTTGACTTAATTTTTCATAGAGCACATTTAGTTTCATAGTGAGGGGACGGTACAGAGATTTCCTATATGCCCCACCCCTGACCACACACATACATACACTCCTAATCAGTGTTCACCGCCACGGTGGCACGTTGGTTCCCGTGGGTGAGCCTACACTGACACAGGTTGGTCACTTGACGTCCATAGTTTGTGTGAGGATTCACTCTTGGAGGTGTATGTTCTGTGAGTCTGCACGAAAGGACAGTGACAAATAACCGTCATGATGGTATCATACAGAGTATTTTCACTGCCCCATAATTCCCGTTCGCTGCCTATTCATCCCTTTTCCGCATTCCGTGGCAACCACTGATCTATTTACTGACTCCATAGTTGGGCCTTCTCTACAGTGTCATTTAGTTTGGATCACACCGTATGTAGCCTTCTCAGATTAGCTTCTTTGACTTAGCCATATGCACTTAAGGTTCATCCATGTCTTTTCACGGCTTAATAGCTAATTTCTTTGTAGTCCTGAGTAATATTCTCTTGTCTGGTTGCTTATCTGTTCCCCTACTGAAGGACATCTCGATTGCTCCCAAGTTTTGGCGGTGATGAACAAAGCTGCTCTAAACATCAGTATGCAGGTGTTTGTGAGGATGTAAATTTTCAGCTCCTTTGGGTAAATTCCAAGGAGGGCACCTGCTGGATGTTTCGTTTTCTAAGGACCATAGGCCTTTAAACAGAGAAATAATTGACCATTAGGGAAAGCACATTTGTAAACGGGCCTATCAGTTTTTCACCCTGCTCATATCTGTTGGTCCCAATGCCGAGAGAAAATCAATCCTTAGATGAACTGACACCTCGTCAAATAGAAATACTGAACACCCATATTCTTCCTTCTCCCACACTGTGTTTTGTTGCACACAGATATGCCTGTGTGTGCTAGTATACACCTCTCAGTATCTTAAGTGAGTATGAAATTATGTAGATTTATTAGATTCGTCATGGTACTTTATGTGCTAGAGAAAATATTTCTTGAGGTTTGTGTATTTAAGAGCATGAAAGAAGAAAATACGCTTTCTAATGGGTGTATTTTAGATCAGAGGTTTTTAAAAGTCAAATGTGTGTATGTGGCTTCTGTGAAAGAAAAAACAGGAGAGCTTTGTTTTAGGAATATCTTCTGTGTCTTGTAGGTGACTTTTTTTTTTAGCTTTCTTACATGAATTTATAAGTGAAAAATGAGCCCCTTTTGCAGTGTTTTTGGTGTAACCTTCCTTCTTCCGTACACAGCCCAGAGTGGATGCTGATGAATCATGTGCAATGGGATTTTAAAATCAGAACGTTTCAGAAGAGCTGGGTATCTGAGTGTCTGAAACGGCTTAGAACATAAACTGCTAAGAAGTAATTTCAGCACTCTTAAGGAAAATCTGGTTGCCTTTGTTAAATATTCCTCATGTAACACAACTGTAATGAAAGCTGTCTTTTCCTTTTTTTCTTTTTTTTTTTTCCTGTCTCCCCATACACATGAGAAGTTAATGGTTTAAGGAAAATACTCCAAGCCCAACAGATCATGTCAAATATTTGGTTTGGTAGGATTAATATTTCACTGCAAAGCGACAGTGGGAGCGGTGTCCTAGTTTTGGGGATGATTATGTAAAGTAATGAGCCTCATCTGTTATAAAACTTAGAGAAGGAGAAAGCTATTTATCATGTGGACTACACTGGCTGTACTTAGAGGACACTGAAGTAGGTATTATATACTTATGGTGGGGTTACATTTAATTAAAATTGTTCTTTTTGTGATGTTAAGGTTAATAATTATGACTCTGTGCAAATGTCTAATATTTATTTTTTTAAAAGGCCTCAGTGGTTTGTTATTCTGTATCTTACTCCCCACTGGCTTAAAATTGGCTTTTCACTTTACCATCCTCTGAATTATTTCCATTACAACACATCTCAAGAATTATACTTGGCTGGGGCAGTTGTAATTTTGTATCTCAGCCACTAGAGGGAAGTGACTCTATTATTTGTTCTGGGGAGAGGTGTTTAATCTCTGTGATTCTGTTCCTCTTCATTGACCCTTAACCCAGATGGAGTTATCCTTACCATTGGGACCACCCCTGCCCCTATTCCTGAGAAGAATCTGTGGGAAGGAAAAGAAAGAACTAAGGACATTGATCTAGAGGACTTGGTTTGTCTTGACATCTGCCCAAAATGTGGGGTCTGTCCATTTCTTCAAGACAGCTCCCTGTGGATGAGCAGCTTTGCTGGGGAAAATGAGTGGTTCTTTCAGATGCACTTCATCTGCTGGTTGTGAAGTAACAGTAGCTTGATTAATACTTTTAAAATGCCAGGCAGTGCTTTCAGCATTAAAAACTATGAGCATAATCCTAGCAACAGTCATATGAGGTAAGTATAATTCTAATTTTGCAGAATCGGACACTAAGGCACTTAGAGGTTGAATAACTTACCCAACATCCCATAACTACTAAGTACTGATGCTGTGATCACAAGCTGGGCAATGGCTCCAGTCCATGTCATCAGCCGCTCTGTGGCACTGCCACCCCATATACACCCCACGTTCTGTGCATAAGGGGACATTCATGGAACTATGACCAATTTAAGTCTGCAAAGGGGAAGATATTTTGGTTCAAAACAAAACAAAAGGAAAGCCACAGAAGCAAAATTTTTACCATATTTTGTAGCATTATCCATGAAAACATATATTATTTTTACATTTTAACCTACCGGGAATCAGGTTGTTGGCTCACAGCTTTATTAGAGGAAACAAGATATTTGTCTGAAAACATAACATCAACTCTGTTAATCATTAAATTTAACAATCACAAAAATGAAACTTTTGGAGACAGTTTCTATTTTAAATCTTTCCATCTCATAAGAATTCCCAAGTATATGTGATGATTGCTTAGAAATGCAGCAAACAGAAAATACTCACACCATGTTTCACAGGAGAAAAGGCTTAATGTGAGATGCAGGAATGTTTGACACTATGTCAGATGGGGCTTGGAAAGGTAAGATCCCTAGAACCTTGACATTTAAAAATTGTTCCTGAATTTTGCCTCTTTTCAATTCTCGGAAGCACCTTTAAACCATCTCTGTCTTTCCTCACACTTTCTTGTGTATCATTTGCTTGGGGCTATTTATTTTTCTGTAAGGAAGCCAGTTATTTTTATTTAAAAAAAATTGTAACAGTAAGAACATTTGGGGAGAAAATTTGTCTTCAGAGTGATTTTGTCCAGTCCTTGATAAGTTTAAGTTCTCACTGTCCCATGGAAGTATGTGGTGACCCAGAATTGTTCAAGCAAATTGAGCCGAGTCTGTGGTATTTGGGAATAGAGGCACAGAAGCAATTCCATGTATGGGTCTAGCCAAAAGCTATATTGACACACAAGGTGTAGCTGTGTGAAAAAATGTTATTTTATATGGTAAATTGTTACTGTTTTCCCCCACTGACATTTTGAAACCAACTCTTCTGAGGAAAGAAATATAGTTGCAGATAAACAACAATATGCAATTAAATAAATATTCACACTAGGCAAAGTTGTTTCAACCAAGGAAGAAGGAAATATTTTTTCTAGAATAAGTAAAACATGATCAATATTTTCTGTTGAAACAGGAAAGAATTTTTAGACTATCTTAAATCCCTTTTTAAAATGATACTTGGGGGTGCTTGGGTGGCTCAGGGGGTTAAGCCTCTGTCTTCCGCTCAGGTCATGATCTCAGGGTCCTGGAATCAAGCCCTGCATCAGGCTCTCTGCTCAGTGGGGAGCCTGCTTCCCTTCCTCTCTCTGCCTGCCTCTCTGCCTACTTGTGATCTCTGTCTGTCAAATAAATAAATAAATAAATAAAATCTTTTTAAAAAATTAAAAAATTAAAAAATAAAATGATACTTGTATCCCATGTCCCATTTCCATTAATATTTTTTTTATCAATAGTCAATCACAGAATATTCAAAGACTACACACACACACTAAGAATTTTGCTTTTGTAGCTTTATTCTAGATCTCTCCCTTAGGACTTTTTTTTTTTTTTTTTTTTTTTCCTCTCCAGCAAGCCCGCACAGCTTTCATAGGGAGATGTAGAAGAAGTGAAATTCAGACTTCAGGTTTGCCAGGTGTTGATAGCTCCAGGGAAGCTTCACTGTGACAGGAAGTTAAAATAATTACATAAGATGAAATTTATAGATTATCAGGGGATTTCTCTTACTCCTGTTTTGCTCATTCTTTCTTAACAAAGAAATTGATACAAATTTTTATATGGCCTTGGAAACTCAATTAGTTGTTCTGAAATCAGAAATAAACTTTCATTAGAAGTGTATTCTATTTATGAAGTCAGTTTTCATACCCAAACTTAAAGAGCCATATGACCACAACTATTCTCTATTACTTCATCTCTCACTTCATGATAAATTTATCTGGTCATATTAGTTTCTGAGATTTTTTTTTTTTTTTTTAATTCTTAACTGGTCTTGGAAACTTGTAGGTAGGAATCTGTTCTAGTTTCCTGGAATCTGACATGTAGATTAGTTGTAATTTCATTGGGGAAACATGTTATTTATTTATTTTTTATTTACTGGAATTTTCTAGGAGTATAGCATGTTATGATTTAGTCATTTGATTTAGTCATTCCCTCCTGAAATGCTGGCTCTTTGGATGAAAAATAAAAATAAGGGGCACCTCGGTGGCTCAGTGCGTTAAAGCCTCTGTCTTTGGCTCAGGTCATGATCTCAGGGTCCTGGGATCGAGCCCCACATGGGGCTCTCTGCTCAGCAGGGAGCCTGCCTCCCCCCTCTCTCTGCCTGCCACTCTGCCTACTTGTGATCTCTCTGTCAAATAAATAAATTAAATCTTTAAAAAAAGAAAAAGAAAAAGAAAAAGAAGCATGATTTGAAATTGTGTCAGTGAAAGATTCTAAGACATGACTCTGAAATACAGGACCTTAAATTCCAACTCTACTCAAAGAAGCAGTTATGCCCTAATTTACTCCTAAGTAGTAAGCTGGGTAGGAGAGGTATGTTACAGATTCTAGGCATGACATTTTCCCCACACTTAGTGTGCGTCTATGAAAGATGGCTGTCTGGCTTCCATGCTCTGGTCTGTTCATTTGTTTATTGTTTTCCACCTGTTCTTCTGTTTGCTTCCCTTAGAAGCAGCTCATTGAAAAAAAAATTCGGTAATTTATATCATGACTTATATTTATGAAACACTACAAAGACTTCTTTTCCCCTTACCCTCCAAAATTGTCTTTGTTTGGATACTTACATTAACGGATGGGCTTAACCAATAGACCATATGTTGACTGATGGATATTAGACCCAGCCAGAACTTCCATTGCCTGTTTTATGTTTTATAAGCACCCCCTAAAATGTCCTTTGTAATTTGGGAGATCAGAGCTCTGCAGTTATGTAAGTTAAATGCAGTAGGCTTTGCTCCCCATTAAAGCTGACAATAACAAATAATGTGTTATTTTTAGGTGTCCTGCAGATACCTGGCAGCTCACTGAAGCATACCTCTTCCCATTTCTGGGACAGAATCACTGAATCAATTTTTCTGAGCCATGAACTCCATAGTAATGTTTTTAAAGCTGTGGTACTAGGCACTAACAAAGGGTAAATAAAAGAAATGATTCTTTTGAAGGCAAGAGAAAGGGCTTTGATGTTGTCACCATGCCACCCAAAATGCTCATTGATGATTATGTTTATTTTTGAGCCCCCAGCAGTTTATTGTCCACTATTTTTGAACAATTGAAGTTGTCCCTCCCTGAGTGTCCCCCAGAGACAGCCTGGGCCCTACTACCTTTTCTGTCTGTTTTTGTATCAAGCAGTGTTGTTTGCAGGGAGCTGGAAGATGAGTTCCCATGAAAGCAATTTGATGTGATAATGAAGCAAGTTACCTGAAGACCAGCAAATACTGTTAACACATACAATGTGCTTTCATATCTATTAAAACAAAAATAACAGAAATGAAAGAGTAAAATAAATCACTTAGGATGAATTCTTTCCATTTTCCCATGATATATATAAATCCTTTCAAGTATGCATATATGCTTTGTGAGATGGGAATCATACCATAGTTAGGCTACTTCTGAAATACTTTTTTCCATGTAATGTATTACTATGCTGTTATAGAATTTGTGATGATCATTTCTGGTGGCTGCATAATTAGTAAATAAGCCATCTACCCTTGACATGTGTGTGAAAAGTCATACAGTAGTATTGGCATCAGGGCCTGATAGCCCTCCCACTGCAGGGTTTTACAGCTTCACTTCTATTTTTCTCTAGTGAAGAGGGGTGGGGAGTTGACTTAGTGGCCATTGCTCTTGAGGAGCCCATCTCCAAATTCAGATGGACGTCATTCACTAAACACGCTCCTACAGTCATGAGTGGACTCTGCCCTCCTCCTTGTACCTTTCTCTAAAACTTTTAATTCCCTTTCATGTATAAACCCTGCCAGATAGTAAGATCTTCAACATCATCAATAAAAATGTTAATTTGTAGGGGCACCTGGGTGGTTCAGTTGGTTCAGCATCCAACTCGTGATTTTTGGCTCAGGCTGTGATCTCAGGGTCATAGGATCATGCCCTGGGTCAGGCCTCTCACTGAGTGTGGTGCTTGCTTGGGATCCTCTCTGTCCCTCTCTCTCCCTCTCTCTCTGCCCCTCCCCGACGCTGTCCCTAAAAAACAAACAAAAGTTAATTCTTAGACCCCTAGATGGGATTGGTTGACTGTGGTATACAAGCAAGATCAAGATGTAGAAATGGGCATTTGCCAAAGAGGAGGAGAGGTGCTAGAAGAAGAAACAGATCGGCTGTGTCCGTTCCTCCTGAATGGGAGGGAGAGTTTTGCTGAACAGGTTAACATACCAGAGCTTAGAGCCTGGGACTCTGAAGTGGTGGCCAACAGGTTGCAGACCTTGAACACTCTGGCCTTGGTACTCAAAATTGTCATCTGTTCACTGCAGTGGGCGAGGAGGGTGTGCGGAGGCGGGGGCGCACATGTTGATCCTGTCCCCACGAGGGTTGAGTTTTCAGCCTTGGAAAAAGGTCACTCTGCATTTTTAGTTATCTTTTCAGAGGCGGCAGAGTAACACTTGACTTAAGCCATACTTGTGATGGATTATAAAAGCTAATAGTGGGTTTTTTTTTTTTTTTTGGTTCATTTCTTAATGAACCATTAAAATCTGCCTAAAAATCAGTCTTAAATTTTCATTGTTTTTTTTTTTTATTAATAATCATGAAGGTTGTCCTTAATGACAGTGCTTTAAAAGAAAAGCCATCCAGCCAATTGACAAAAGGCAACATGGTTTTGGAAACATCCCCCTAGGGCTTCTAAGTAGAAGTTAGAGAAAAAGAAAAAATAAATAACAGAGGTGTGTGTGTGTGTGTGTGTGTGTGTGTGTGTGTGTGTGTGTGTATTTTAAACCTTACAGTATAATGTGTCTGTATCCATGAAGCCTGCTGGGTATCTCTGATGTACTTAGAAACTTACACAGATGAATAGAAACTATCCTTGTACTCCGAGGCTTAAAGCCTCATGGAGAATTGGACCTGTAGACAATTGTGCTCTAGTAAAATGCTCTAAAAGAGGCATGTATATGTATAAAGTTCATTCGAGATCCAGGAGGGAAACCTCTTATGTCTTCAAGAGAAGGTCAGACTGACTTAGCTGGGGAGGTGACCTCTCATCTCTCACTTGAAAGATGAGCAGAAGTTTTCCAGGCAGAGGAGATGGAAATTCTAGGAACTGGGAACAGGATGTGCAAAGGCAATGAGGCAGTGAGGTATGGAGCAGCTCCTGCGTCTGGGGAGCTGAAAGTAATTCACTTTTTCTGACAAGTACATACTTTTTTATTATTGAAGCATAAACCACAAAGGGACATGTGTCAAAGTATGAGGCAAAATCAGTAAGGCCATTTATAAAGTATTCCATTTAAAGAGGTTTTGTTTTTTCCTACGAAGAACCTCTCAAGCTTTAATGTGCAGAAGACCTCCATCCACCCCCCGCCGGGCACTTAGGTGGAATGCAGATTCCTGGGCTTCATGCCCAGAAATCCTCAGTCCGTGGGTGTGGAGAAGCCTCCGCAAATCTGTACGCCGGTAATTCAGTGATGGTGGGACAGAAACTGTTCTTGAAGGAATATTGCTAGAACAGTGCGGGAACCACTGAACTTTCAGGGGAGAGAGGGAGGGTCAAACGACTGTGTGCACACATTAGCGCTGGCGGTTTTGGAGGAACAGTTTGGAGTGGGGAGCAGGAGGACATTTTATGAATCCAAGCAAGAGATAATGGAGGCCTTGACCAGACGGCCCCATACAACGTGAAAATCTGTGCTCTTTTTCTTTTTTTTTTAACTTTATGGATAGTGAGAACTTCATTGATTTTTCTCTCAATTTCTTATGTTCCCAACTAGTGTATTTTTGTTACATTTAAGTCAGTTTTTTTCTACTCTCTTGAGTTTTCTATTTCTGCAGTGTACGTGTCATCTGGTCTGGCCTTGACTTTCTTTTGTCATTGGTGTATTAGCATTCTTTATAATTCTTCATGTGCTTCATGAGCTGAAAGCCACCTGTGGCGATCACTCGTCTATCACCCAACTGCCACTATATTGGATGACATGATTGACTGTTGCTATAGCTCTTAAACCTGGAATAAATTCTTTTTGAAAGTTTTTTTTTTTGTAACTATTAACTTTAATATAGTTATCTTCTGTGATGTGTCTTACAATACATTGTTTCAAAGAATGTTTCTTTGGTTGCCAGAAACTTGGTTTGTGCCTTTCAGTCCTCATAATCCAGCTAAGTAAAAACAGTAAAATCTTAAATTATCTAGCAACATGGGAAATAACAAGTTTGTGTTTGCTGGGGAGAGGGGAGAGGTAATCCCAAATTACAGATAATATAATATTTTGAAGTTAGGAGCATCTTTTTTTACTGCATACCAGTTGGCCAATATTAAAATGGAGCTTGCTTTATCAAAAGTAAATGATTTTGGGGGCGCCTGGGTGGCTCAGTCATTAAGTGTCTGTCTTCGGCTCAGGTCATGATCCCAGGGTCCTGGGATGAAGCCCTGCATTGAGCTCCCTGTTCAGTGAAGAACTGCTTCTCCCTCTGCCCATGTCCTCCCACCCCCAACTTGTACTCTCTCTGTCTCTTTCAAATAGATAAAATCTTTTTTAAAAAAGTAAATGTTCTGAGCAATGAAAGAAGAAAGTCTTCATGTACAGCACAATGAAATAATTCTGGAATTCAGAATTGGTCACATAAAATGCACAGCCTGACCAGTCTGCAAATAACAACATATATATTCAACCCAAAACACAGCCCTGTATGGATTTATAACCCAGTCAGTTTTGAAAATACCCATTTGCCCAGTTGCCATAGACAGGTAAGGATTTATGTGTAGAAGCAGTTATTTTTCATTTTTATATTCTGAAATTCCTGGGAGTAGGAAAGACTTCATTTTTAAAGCAATGTTAGTATTTCTAAGGTTTTTAGAGCTTTCACATTTGCATTTTATTTTGTTAAAAGATGCCAATCCAGTTTTATGAAAATGTCCATGTAAAGGCACATCGTTTGAAGTTTGTAAACTTCACAGTAATCTAAAATTCGCAGGAACATGAACTTTCAGGTCATGGTAAAGGGACTGTCAGTTACGTGGCTTCTGGGATTGGAGTTTTGTTTTTTTTTCCTAATTAAAAATAATAGGATTCACTGTAAAAAAGAATACACACACACACACACACACACACACACACGTATGTATGTATGTATGTATGTATAAAGGAATAAAATCAACCATAATTCCACACTTACAGATGGCCATGAAAAATACTTTGTTTAGTTCACTTTTGTATTCATATACTTTCATGTATATTATAAGCAAGTTATATCCTAACTGCTCCATTTTGTTTTTAAACACGTTTCAGGAGCATTTCCCATTATGTATACTTTACAAATGTGGTCTTGGTTTCCTATGGCTACTGCAACAAATTATGACAAGCTGTATGGTTTCAAACAATATGTATTTATTCTCCTAGAGTTCTAATGGCCAGAAGTCTGAAATCAGTCTTACTGGGCTAAAATCAAGGTGTCTGCAGGGCTGAGCTCCCTCCAGAAACAGTAAGATAGAGTATGTTTTCTTGACTTTCCCAGCTTCTTTCATGAGCTGAATTCTGCGCATTCCTTTCATTCCTTCGTCATCATCAAAGCCAACAACCTAGCATCTTGCTTGTGCCACTGTGCCTTCTTCTACAGTCGAATCTCCCTCTGTGTCCCTCTTATAAAGACACTACATTTAGGGCCCACCTTCATTATTTAGGAAAATCTCTCCGTCTCAAGACCCTTAATTTAATCACATCTTCAAAATTCCTCTTGACATATTAGGTAACATAGTCACAGGCTCCAGGGATTAGAATCTGGATATCACTGGAATCTATTATTCTATTCTTATTGGTTTCATAGTATTTTATTTTATGGCTCTTTTGGTTTTTATTAGCATTTGCCCTAATAGAGTTACATTTGTTAACATGTTGTACCATTAGTTTTTGTCACCCATACTGTGCTTTTATAAGGAATTCTGAGATTAATTTCCATATGCATAAATGTTTGTGTATACAGTTGGTTGTATTTGTGTAAGTTCCAAGATGTCAATTATGGTTAAAATGTCTATTTGTATGTGTGTATTATATGTATACATATGTAGCAGACATGTACATTTATGTGTGTGTGTGTCTGTGTATAGGTGATATGTGTGTCGGGTGTGTGTGTGTGTGTGTGCGTGCATGTGTGTATGTTTTCGTTCTCCAGATAGCTTTCCCAATAGTTAGTAGAGAGAACTTATGTTCTCATGCTCTCACCACCACTGATGGTCTTTTTTTTTCAACTTTGCCACTTAAACAGGTAAAAATATTTAATTGATGCTTTGACTGCATTTCTACAAGAATAGTTAGACTGAACACTTTTCATTCTAAACATTTATTTATTCTGTGAATTAGTGTTTCTTTAAAAATCTTTGTTGGGGGGGCGCCTGGGTGGGTCAGTGGGTTAAAGCCTCTGCCTTCGGCTTGGGTCATGTTCTCAAGGTCCTGGGAAGGAGCCCCACATGCATCCAGCTCTCTGCTCAGCAGGGAGCCTGCTTCCTCCTCTCTCTCTGCCTGCCTCTCTGCCTACTTGTGAACTCTGTCTGTCAAATAAATAAATAAAATCTTTTAAAAAAATAAATAAAAATCTTTGTTGGTAATGAAAATGACCTAACTTACTAGAGGCTTGCCTGAGAACTCCTTAGCTAAAATATTTTGTGTCTTCCCTAAAATAACAGTCTCTGATTTGTGGAATAATGTAAATCAACTTGCTTAATCGACTAAAATTCTTACTATTAGCAGAAGCACATTGTTTCTACCTCAGTCTATATATACTCCCTATGTGGTACTTTGATGGAAACCTTACCTCTTATTTTAGTGGCGCAATTTTCCATAACTTTAGATGTCTGACCTGGAAAAATATTCAAGAAAAGGAGAACTGATAAATTAACTTTAATCTTACATTACAGACAGGTCTTAGTGTCGACTACCAAAGGGCTAAATATAACTACCCTGACCCACTTAAACCAAATTGACACTTGTGATAATTGCACTGTAATTCATGCTCAGGAACCGCAGAAGAAATGATGAACCTTAGACCCAGGCTTCTGGATCAAGAAACTCCATGTCCTTGAAGTTAATTCCAGATTGAGAGACTAATGCAATGATTACGATCTGGGGGTCACTGTTACAAGCAAAAAACAGTATTTCATATAAACTAATTATATGTATGTATATGTGTACATACATAAAACTATTTATGCGCAGTCTCTATTTTCTGAGATTTTGAAATCTGAGACAATAGACCTGCCTAATAGGTACAGCAGTGGAGTCATGAAATTTAGGAGGACTAGATCAAAAAAAGCTTTTTAAAACATGTACAAACTGAGTCTCCAAAATATCAGGATTCTATACCTGACTTTGCTATCAAGTATCATTTTAACCCTGAGCAAATCTTTTCTCCTTTTCTCCCTTCTCTCAACATTCATACAAATGGTTGTATTGAGGATTGAAAGATGAAGGGGATAGAGCCCTTCCCTTAAGGGGCTCTTATTCTGATGGGGATTGATCTGCAAACAGATTTTGATTTTGATACAGTGGGAGAACATTTTCCCTACAGAAGCTCTCAGGAGCAGAGGCCAGTAGAGGGATACTCAACAGTAGGGATAGGGAACCTCAAAGGAAGGCTGCCTAGAACAAGTGGCAAGAAGTTCGGTCTTAAAGACAGGAGTTAGCCTTCCCATTTGTCAAATGAGGTGTGTGATCTCCAAGCCATGTTCTCTGCTCCCAAATTGGGTTGCTTAGCTCTGTTAGAGCTACGACTCTGTGTCACTTATTGGCAGATCTTGCAGACAGCTGGTTTAGAATGGAGTGACACAGTCATCTCTGGTTCCCTGTCATCTCCTGTAGGATGACCCTTGCAGCAGCCCCATAAGGGTGATAGACCTTTTCTGTCCACTTCCTGTCACAGGGGGTAGAGCTCTGTCAGCCTGACTGTGCAGCTTCTCCCAGGACCTTCGCTTGCTGGTAAGGCAGAGGGCAGAGAGCTAGGGTGACGTGCTTGCAAACAGTGATTGTGCAACCCAACCTGGTCCTGTATGCTGGACTGTCATCACGCATGTTCTGCTCCACTCTTCTGTCCTACCCATCAAGGAGTCACCAGTGTGAGGGTTAAGTACTCCATGGTCTATATTCATCTGTTCTCTCCTCTTGGGTTTTTCTTTTAAAGTTACTGGTTATTTGCTACATTTCTGAGCCAGTGATTCTCCTAGAGTCCAAGAAGTACCTGAGGACAATGTTATGTTCTCTTCCCATTCTAGTTAGTCTCCACCCTGCCCTTTGCTGTCTTGGGTCTTATCCTTCAGCCAGCCCTTGGGATCACGCAGTTTTCTGCTCAACCTGTTAAGAAACAGTGATCAGTTTAATTGTGTTTCTGTTGTTTTATCTCCTCACTCTATAAATGTGAATCTACCTTGTGATATTGTTTAATATTTTTTCATATTCCAAGGATGATGTAACCTCCTTATTATCCATCTCCTTTTATTGGGCATTCACATTTATCCCTACATGATAATTTTCATTTATCTCTTTTATCTTCTTTCATAGTTTAGTAATGTGAGCAAAAAAAAAAAAGTTTAATAACACTAGTAGAGTTTTCTTTCAACCTACTCCACTTTGATGCAACTTTCTTCACATCTCTAGCTCAGCCTTTAAGCTTTATTTCTTTTTTTATTTAAAGATTTTATTTATTAGACAGAGAGAGAGAGATCACAAATAGGCAGAGAGGCAGGCAGAGAGAGAGAGGGGAGGAAGCAGGCTCCCTGCGGAGCAGAGAGCCCAATGCGGGGCTCGATCCCAGGACCCTGGGATCATGACCTGAGCCAAAGGCAGAGGATTTAACCCACTGAGCCACCCAGTTGCCCCTAAGCTTTATTTCTTAATATGTGCCATGATTACAAGGATGGCTTATTGAGGTCAGGCAGTTTGCTGCTCACACTTCTGCCCTTCAATTAACAAGGCAGCATTTAGAAGGTGAACAAGGCAGACCTGTACATATGGACAGTATTAGGGAATTAGTCACTTCAAGGTGCTCTAAAAACGGGGTTGGATGAAAATCAGAGTTAGTTTATAGCACAATCCCCAGAGGAGGCCAAGATTAGGTAGAATATATTGGGAACTCGGTATCAACACCACTTTTCCTGGTGTCGTCTCATTGGAATTGGCCTTGTAGCCAGAGTGTCAGTGCAGGGAGCTGACGGATTCCCGGGCTGCACACCTGCGTTAGAAAGCTTAGTCTCCCACAGTGTTGAAGTTCAAGGAAGGCTCTGGGGATGATTATCTGCTGTTCTGTGGAGGGTGGGAGGAAACCTTATTGAGTGGGCATGGGGCAGAGGGTACCAAGTGGATGGGAGAATTCAAGTAAGTGAAAAGAACATGGGACTTCTTTGTATATAGGAGGGAGGTGAACAATGAAGAATTCGACCCATTTTTAACTACTCATTTCATTCTAAGCCAGCATTTCAGAATCGTGAGAAGCTTATTTTTCTTTGTCGTTTATCTTTCTTATAAAAACAATGGCTCATAATATCATCTGATTAAATGAGTGAGCATTCTGGATCACAAAGCTTGTCCATTACTGTGTAGGCTCAGTTATTGTGCAATAAGTAGAAAATCTTGAATATCTGTATATTGACTTAGACCAGTTATAGTCTTAAGAATTTCCATTAATTTCAATTTCCTCTTAGTTTAGTAGCCAGTTTCACTGTACTTGCAACCAAACTATAGTTGTAGCCCGTATAATTATTTCTCTGTAGGAAAATATCAGTAGTTCTGACAATTTTAATTCTTGTGTTTGCTAACTGCATTAGCTTCTGAATCATAGGTTCCCAAATCAAGTCAAACAGGTTAGAAGACAAGTAACACTTGAGTGTCACACCTACTCTTATCTTAAATGAATGTGGGAATGTATCAGCCACTTTCACTGTGTTAAGTAGTTCATTTCTGGCTCCTCATTACTTTACCTATTTTTATTTTTTCATTTTGGATACAACCACAATTTTCCCAAGCCACCTAAGTGCAAAACACATGTTTAAGTATACGTAGTTTAAAAAAATGTGTTTTTACCCATCCCTTTGAAAATCTGCAGGATGGATTACCCAGAATGTACAGAGTGGAGGCTGTAATGACATCTGCTCACAGACCAGGATATTTATCATTCAATCAAAAGAAGAAAAAATGTTTTATGTACTCACTTACCCATTTTAGTTATCATTGTTAATGGGTATTGCCCAAATAAAAGGGCTTTTCTAGAAGAAATAGAATATAGGATTTGGGAGCTACAGAGTCATTAGTTCTTGGAACCATCCAGAACTTGAATTCTGTGCACTGCATCTCCTTCAAGTTACCTCTACTCAGACACTTTTATAGGACATCCTCTCTTGGCCTATCAGCCCTTTTCATCTTTGGATCCGAAGACTCTTCCACATAATAGTTATTTCAGTATTCAAAGACCACTGTCAAGCTTCCCAAATTTTCTCTTTCTGCACTTCGAACACAGTTTCTTCACCATGTGATGTAGATAGCACACTTTCATGTCTCCTTTCACCATCCTGATGGTTCTTCTCTGGGCAGTCTCTACTATGTAATTTTCCTTCTTAAACTCGAGTACCTATTAACTCAGCACACAAAATTCCCTGGGCTTACCTTTGGGGATGCAGGTAGTGGGTGGGATCCAAAGAGGGTTTCTCTTAGTTTTGGTTGTGACGTGAGGAATTATAGGACTTCTGTTTTCAGTTACAGAGTGTAGATAAAAATTAGTCAATGGGAGAAATTCTTTAGAACTTAAAAGTATGTCCACAGGATTCATAAGAAGTTAAGATTCTTCGACAAGTCAGTTGACCTGCTAATACCGATAATTTTAGGGCATTTTGAGGGAAGCCCAAGCATCTGAATCATCTCCATTCAAAAAGTATTTACTAACTGCTTATATAAATCCGGACCTGTCAGATCTTGGAAACAGAGAAATCAGTAAAACATGACCACAGCCTTGAGGAACTCACAGACTAGTAGGGAAGACAGCAGTAAACAGTTTGTTTACACCTCAGTGGAGGCACTATCTGGCCACCATGAAAGTAGAGGACATGGTGTGCGGTGTCCTCTGCTCTATTCCTACACCCCTCAGCATTGCATTCTTTTAACTTCTGTGTACTGCTGACATTATGTGCAGTGTGTTCTCAACACTGCTTATAGGAGCTTATATATGTTATCTCACTTATGTATGTTGATCTCTTAAAAGTTGGTCCTATCATGTGCCCCCCCCCCCAAAATGGGGGAAATGGACAGAGATTAAGTGACTTATCTTAATTCATAATTAACTATTGGATCCAGAATTCAGACCCAAGTTTTTTGCTCTTCACCAATGCTCTGTGCTCCCTTTCTCTGAGGGAGGCTTTATTTAAGGCAGTAGTAGTTCTCAGCCAGGGGGTGATTTTGCCCCCTAAGAAATACTTGGCAATGTCTGTAGACATTTTTGATTGTCGCAACTGGCATCTAGTGGGTAGAGGTAGGCGTGCTACTAAAGGTCCTCTGATGTACAAGACAGCCCCCAGAACAAAGAATTATGCACCCTCACATGTCCAAGGAATGAGGTTGACAAACAGTGCTGGAACATGGGTAGTACTGTCTTTCTGTCAGCCTTTAAAAAATACCCTTTTAAGAACTTAAAAACTTTAAAAAAAGATGGGGGGAGAAGAAATGGCTTAGTATGGAACAAAACATACAAAAGAAAGTTCCTAAGTATCTGGTGAAGTATATTTTGTCACTTGTTAAATTGAGGAAAAATTGCTGCTTTTGTCTATCTTAGTAGATACCAAGGATCCAAGGAGGCTCAGTGAGAATTTCAGGAGGTAATGTGTAATATGGACTTGTAAAATAATGATTATCAGAAATTCCTAGAGCCCTTGGGGTGAAAATATTTCAGGAGTCATAAGAATTAGATAGAGAGGATCCCAAAGTACACTTCTGTTTGTAGAAGTGTACTTTGTCAGCTGACCTCCCCCACCACTCTCATATTTCTGTAAGCAAGTTTGTTTCCAGTATTTAGTAGGTGAACTAAACCTGACAAAGGTGACCCTTTGTCAGCTGACCTCCCCCACCACTCTCATATTTCTGTAAGCAAGTTTGTTTCCAGTATTTAGTAGGTGAACTAAACCATTTTTTATGAGATTTTTTTTTTATTAAAATCTTGTGAAATTTAGTAGCTCTCACCCTGTTATGCCAGATTTAAGGCAGCTAATTTAAATTCTAATTTTTTTTTCCTTCATAGACTTTCACACAAGCATTTGTCAGTTTGGGAAGTTATTTGAATTCCATGCCTTTCTTCAAGATGAACGACAGAAACATGGATTCAACCTTGCCTTTCACTCCCTCAAGTCTGAACACACGTGGAAGGGAAATAATCGAGCATTTGTTAAATAAATGCCAAGTAGTGTCTTCGTAGGTAGTAGCTCACCATTCCCTGGCGGTGTCTGCAGTCCACGAAGCCAAACAGGTGTGCCTGTCGTAATTCATCAAATGAATGTAAACTCATAAATATAGTTGACTGAGGTTTTGGGTGAGTGTGGCATCCCATCGGCGTGCTTTTCCTGCAAACGGCGTCCGGGTAAAGAGTAATTACTCACTTCCTAGGAGTGTTTACATGGTGATCCATTCTGCCGTGAATCACAGACCAGCCTTCAGGTGTGCGCCAGGCTCGCCTCACCGGGTGCTGGCCGAGGCTGGATTTGTTTATTTATTTGCGGGGAATGATCCATCTGGGGCCGCGAGCTGGGGGCGTGGGGCGTGGGGCGTGGCGCGCGGGGGCAGAGGATGCTGGGGTTCGGGCTGCTCCGGGGCTCGCACACGGGAGCCCCCCAACCCCCGCCGGCCCCCTTTCCCATGAGGCCCCGCTCCTGGGGGAGTGTCTGCGGGTGGGGAGCCTCCTCCCCTCCGCAACCAGCGCCCGGCCGCCGGGCCGCACAAAGGTGTCCTGTTCTAGTCCGCCTATAGGCCAGTTTTCTAAAAGTGCTTGTAAGTTTCCTTTTTTTTTTTTTTCCTTTTGCAAAGGGGGAGAAGAGGCGCTTTTTGTATTTCAGTTCTTTTCCTTGTATGTAGATACCAAAAGGAAACTCGGCACTGGGCATGTTCGGATGTTGAATGGTTTGCTGATAAGCAACAGCCTCCCGGAACCAGAGACTTAAAATAGTCATCCCGCCCCCCTCCCCACGCCACCCCCCCCCCGCAGGAGCTGCAAATGGTATCTGCCAAACAGATGACAAAGTACCTTGGACTGAATCACACACAGACAGCATTTTGTGCAGAACGCACGGCCCAACTCTTGTAATTACTGTTTATAGCTGCCCAGGGCTGGCCAGGAGAGGGCAAACCCAGGAGGAAATAAGTTTCCTGAACCTGGGAGAAATGGCTGTGCGTTAATTAAAGGCTAGGACGGGTACTTTTCAGACGGGCTCCAAGTTCTTGAGATCACAGTTCACAGCACGTTTCCTCTGGAGGGAGCGAGTAGATAATTGGGATATTTTTCTTCTTTTTTTCGTCTTTTATTTTATTTTATTTTTCCGTTTTACCGCCCCCTCCCTGGTTTGGCCTTATGGCCTTGAACCCGCAGTGAATTGAAGAGAGAAAGAAATGGATATGTCTGACCCCAATTTTTGGACTGTGCTCTCAAACTTTACTTTGCCTCATTTGAGGAGTGGGAACAGGCTTCGGCGAACACAAAGGTAAAAAACAACAACGCGGCGATACTTTGCCTGGAGAGGGAACGTGTTGGCTTTGGCGGCAGCCACGCTGCCCAAGCCCCTTAGCAGCTGGGGTTTTGTTTCCTGGGCGACAGTTTGAAAAGTTTCTACCCTGCCAGGGGGGCCCTGTTTCAGGTGTTCTGTCTGTCATCCTCGCGGATTTCCTGCGGAATCCTACTTGCCGGTGGTTCTCCAGTTGTTCTTTTGAAATGTGGGTGAGAAGGGCGTGAGTACTGAGTGGAGGGGGGAGTAAAAGGGAGGAGGAGAGATACTTTGTCTGTCTCTGATCTGATCAGATCCATCCCTTTCCCTCACTCAGGCACTGGAGGCTTCTGCTTCCCTTTGTAGAGCCTTTCAGAAGTTCCTTCCTATTAAATATTTGACCTTTATAAGATGCAGATGTGCAATGCAAAGATAGCTCCAGTTAGCCTGTTTCGTATTGTCTGCTTAAAAGAGACAGGTCTGCATAACTTTGCCTTTTTTTTTTTTTTTTTTAACTGGTTTGCTGACATTTATTCCTGATACAGGCTGGCCTTTTCATTTTGTTAACGTATTTGACAGAATAAGTGGAGGACAAGAGAATTTTAAAATCTGGTTGAAGCTGGTGGCAGAAGTGAAAGGCAGTTCAGAGTTAGCTGCTGACACTCAGATTGAGAGAATAGGATTTTGAAGGGGAGTGTTTCTCTTCTCTCCCCATTGTGTCCAGCACAGAAAGGTTGCATTATGGTGGTTTTAGAGGGGCCTGCCTTCTGAGTTGCCTAACTCTAGGTTCTTCATTTTTCTTTGCAACTTGACTCTCATGTCCCCGTGAGCACGTTTAAGAGCAGTGGTGCGCTCACATAAACAGGATACTGCCTATCAGATCGGGAGCTTCATAATCTCTGTGCTCCAGTGTTGAAAGAACACCAGAAAATGGTGTATTCTCTTTGTTATGCCTATAACTTTGTGGAACAGGAATGCAGATACCTCATACTTCGGAAAACTCAGTAAATTTTCCTTCCGAAACTTCCCTTGGTGTTTCATAGATTTGAGCAGCATCCCGGAATATTCTGATGTGCCCTATTTGTAGGCGCACATGCAAATATACACCTATAACACACACACACACACCTTTGTCTGATCCTGAGTATACTTTAAAGTCACACTTACCTTTAATACAACTTGAACAACGTTGGTCCCACGAAACCATGTTAGAGTTTCGATTTAAGCAAGGTTAACCAGGCTTTTCGTGTTCTGCTCTGTATGTTTAGAGACCTGATGTTTTGGTGTTGGTCATTTTTATTCAAGATGTGTCATCCATGCCCGACCAGCAAAATAAATGCAACTAATTAGCTGAAGAGATAATGCTATCTATGAATAAGAGCACAACTTTCGTGGCAGTACATTCTATAACGTCTTGCCTTTCAAGTTTGTCAGGGGCCCCTAAATATTTGAGTCGTGTAGTCCTTGCTATGATGAGGTCTCTACTCCCAGTTGAGGCCACTTTGCAAAGAGATCGGCCTGCTCTGGCGTTACACCTGTGTTTCTCCAAAGAAAGGCTTGGAGCCTTTCTTTGCCCTGTCTACCTGTTGATAATATTACTGAGAGAATTCTCAGGCTAGTCTGACCCTGACTTTCCAACCCAGGGCATTCCAATCCAGAACACTGCAATTCAGAACACTGACACTGGCAGAGAGCCCGAGTCCTAAGTTCCTTCTTAAGAACTGAAGTAACTTAGGCTCTTCCCAGCAAAGTGGAAGAGTGTGGGAGGCCTTTCCCCATTCCCCAAGCCATGGACCCGGTTTTTTTTCCAGTTCAGTGAAACAGAAAAGGGGGCGGGTTTTCTTCCCTCCCTTCTATTAGTGGAGGTTGCCCCAGCCTTTGTTACTGGGGATTTCCGGGATTCTTAGAGTTTGGAGATAGATTTCCTGAAGATCATCTCTATGCACATCTACTTATTATTGGTCTCATAGAACCAGCACTGCTTTATATTTATTATGGAGATCTGGAAACTTGAAGGACAACTGTCTTCCTGTCCAGGGCGGTGTATATAGCTGTTGCATTCTCTTATTATACAGGGATCAATCCCGGCTCTGTGTCCTTCCCTGAGGGCGTGTAGCATATGCTTACAGTGAGACTCTTCCCATTCTGTGACCTGCCTTCACTGCTCTAAATGCTGTCTCCCCCACCAACTGCCACTTTTAACCCCATTCTGCACCTGGCTGATCAAGTTCCCTAAGGCTGCCTTTCAAAAGGACCTTGCCACCCTCAAGTTGTCCTTTTGCCAGTCTCATTGTGACTGTACCCAGTGTCCAGGTGAGGACATCTATCCCGCACCCTCAGGTGCGTGAGCCCTAGCCCTGGGAATATCTCTCCTGCCCAAGCCCAGCTTCTTCTCTGCATACTTGCTGACTTTGTCCATCAGATCATTCATTTTCCTTTTTTTTTTCCTAGCCACTTGTCCTGATTCACATTGTAATTTAGAGGACTTCATCTTAATCTTTTCTTTAATATCAGCTTCTTGCATCCTTCAAAGAGTAAATCCCGCCTTGAGCATGTGAATGAACATCTCAGAGCTTTTTGGGGTAGGATATGTGTACCATTTACACAAAAAGGAGAGATGGAAGGGTTTCACATTCTTCCCTTAAGTCTATATTATGGTAGACATTTTCATCATGGAAGCCCTTTTGGTTGGTTCCATTGCATTTGCCTTGCCGGTTCAGCATGGTACTGGTTTGTTGCCTTGCTCTGTTACAGGAAAACTTTGAAAGTTTCTTTTCCAACTGGGCCTTCGTGGGCCTATACCTTTTAACTCTCTGGGTTCTTAGAGAGACAATCTGATTATAGAGACCTAATCTCAGGCCTAGACTTTTACACAGTATTGAACTGATGACAATCCTTGTTCTGTATCCCAAACACAATTTACTGTTCCTTTCATTGTTTTTTGTCTTGACTGTGGCAGACAACAGGTTGGCTGGAGGCACACTGACTTGGTCCAATGTTTTGCTGGAAAACTTACACATTCCATTGGAAACAATTTATTTATTTATTTTTTTAATCATATATTATTTATTTATTTATTTATTTATTTGATAGACGGAGATCACAAGTAGGCAGAGAGGCAGGCAGAGAGAGAGATTGATGTGGGGCTCAATCCTAGGACCCTGGGATCATGACCTGAGCCGAAGGTAGAGGCTTTAACCCTCTGAGCCACCCAGGTGCTCCATATATTCTTTATTTAAAGGGAAATTTTCTTCTTTTAATTTTAGGAAAACATCTATAAATACTCTATAAAGTCTTAAACCTTTCAAAATATCCTTTCTCTTGCCTTGCTGTCATTTAAATTTCATGAATGAGTTTAAGTGACACAGTCTTAAAGCTTATACTTTTAGGGAATATTTGCATGGAAGAAAACCTCATGTGTTCTGTCAAGTAATTATTAACAAATCAAATCCAGCAATGAATGAAAACAGACATCATGATCAGTTTATCCCAGGTATGCAAAGATGGTTCAGCACTAGAAAATCAATCAATATAATCTGTCACAAAAATAAGCTAAGTAAGGATTATCACATGATCAGATTACTATATGGGGCAAAAGTACTCCACAGGATCCAGTACTCACTCATGACAAAAACTCTCAGAACACCAAGCACAGAGGGGAATTTCATCAACTTAATGAAAGATATCTACAGAAAACCTTCAGCTAACAGAATCCTTAATACAGTCGTCCCCCACCAATCTCTGATTTCACTTTCTGCAGTCCCCATTATCTGTGGTCAGCCACAGTCCAGAAGCCGATGATAGTGGCCTGAGACCACGTCACAGTGCCTACGTCATTCACCGTGCTGCATCTCATCACACACACATTTTATCTCATACCATCACAAGAGGCAGAGAGAGGCCATATTCACCTAACTGCTTTATAGTATGTTGTTATAATCTATTTTATTATTAGTTAATGTTAATCTCTTACTGTGCCCAATTTATGAATTACATTTTATCATCCATATCTATGTATAG